CCTACTTTATCTTCACATGAAATAGTTAAATCTAAATAATTTAGATTTATATAATTTCACAAAAATAGAGAATATTGACTAAAACAAACAAAATAGTAATAGTAATTAAGTAAAAACAGTAAGAAATAGTAACAGAATAGGAAACTTGACTCTTGGACAAAGAAATTAATGCAACGTGAATATTTTGGCAAAGAAAGTTCGTCTATAAGCTAAAATTTGTCAACTTTCGATATACATATATAAATATATAAATGTTTTGGCTCTGATAACATTTCATTTTCAACCATCTTTCAACCACCCTTTAATACCATTTTTTTACAAGTTTTAAACAGTAACACTTTAGACGTAATGCCCGTTAGACCGGGCCGTGATGGAGAGATCTCCGTGTTCCTTTACACTTCTTAATCATTCAATTTTGACGTACATGTCGAGGGATATTTGTATTAGTTGTCTAAATATATTTGATAATTAATAATTATTATTTATAATTTAAAATATTTAATTAATTCAATTAATACTAATAATTAATAGTTAATGTTAAAATAAACACTCTAATACCATTGTAGAGCTATATTGTCGCCTTCAAAAATATGCAATTTGGAATTAGAAAAACAAGAACCATCGCAGAAAGTCTTGGATAAGTATTAAGTAAATTGAAAGTTGCATGTGATTGCTATAAAGAAAATAACGTAGAAAGGATTCATAGGGATTTGATTTGATAGACCTTAAAAGCAAATGATCCAATTATTATGTATAGTAAAATATTTTAAATTCAAATCATATGATATGTAAATGAAGATAGAATAAAAAATAAGACATGATTGCCTCTCGTTATACAATTAATATATTTTATGAGACCAAAGATAACTGGTCCAACCAATATTAAAATCTCGTTAGAGAGATCCACTAACTCCTCATATTTGTGCCTTCATCTTCTCTTCTCTGCCTTTCTCAGGGACAAGGCTTGAAAGTAGTAAACAGTATTTGTGCAGGCCAAGTAGTATTCAAGATAAAGGGTTGCAAAGTTGTAGTTAATCAGAAAAACGCAATCTAATTTCAAAATTAAAATGTTGTTTTACGGCTCCAAAATAATTGCACAAAGTAATATTAGTGTTGATTAACAAATCCCTCGCATGTTAAAAGTAAATTTACTTTTTATTTCTTGGTAATGATTGATTACTGTGATTCCTAAATGATTGATGTCATGTATAGCAAAATGAGTCATCATGGTTAAAGATATGAGAATAATTAGAATGCACAGATGAAGTTAAGACTT